GTAAATGACATGCTATGTGCTTGTTATCGACCGATTATTGTTTCCCACGGGATCATTCTCGTGTCTATTTTCACCTGAACCTAAATCTACACCCGGAAAAATGAAGGCAGTTTTCCGTGACAACAAAATGTCATTCGATTTGGAACCAAGTTAAAGTCTAAAGTAAAGTCTTCGCCGTTGATCAATCCCTTTGTGGGATGCGGCACGCATTCTACTTCCATTCAGAATCGTAGTGGCTTATTGAATGCGATGTGGCCTATACAATGACTTGCGGTGGCCAGCCGATGTACAAGTCAGTGTTTTATCCTCCCAGACGAATCTGGTACCTCCCTTTAACGCGCACGCACAATAGCAATCGTTAGAAAGCGAGATTACGTGGATGAACACGATCCTTTTGCTTCAACGTATGTACCTTTCAGATTTCAGCGCCTTTCATCTTTCAGTATTGTTGTTGTTGTTTCTTGCTTAATTTTTTTTTCGTCCGTAGACAAAAGAGTTAATCTTTTACCGATTCAGTACTTTCTACTACTGAATCTCATGAACTTTTCCACAAGTCTTTGTGAAACACCCATTTATTTCTTCAGCTGATCTACATTCATCGCGCACTTCTCTCTCTCGGCCAAAAATTAGGTAGGTATACTAGTTGTCGCACTCATCTAACAAGGAAACTAAGAAAAGGCTGAAGGATTGCATTAATCCATCCAGTCGTCCCCATCTCTAATATATGTCTATCATTTATTTCTTCCGAAACCAATAACGAGCAGCCAGGATTAGCCAGTCTGAAATGCTCGGCAAAGTGCCAGAATCGCACTCAAGGGTGTCCCGAAACGAAGCCGTTTAGGGTACTTTTTTGAAAAGTTCGTTCATAGTGGTTTGTATGTTCCACTGTGTCGCTCTAGAAAAGAGAGCCGTGGACTGCTAGTAACAGTTCGAAAGTCATTTCGCTGCTGCCGCTACACTGACCAAAGGCCTAGTGTCACGACAATATGATTCTGCTGCACGCTCGTGCAATGCGATGGTTTGCTCCAAAGCAGCATGAATACTAAAGATCTTTGCAAACATCTTTCTTCAATGAATACTCAGGATAAGTGAAAATTAGAGCGTGTTCAGACTTCGTGATCGACATATCGCGATCCAGTCGGGCGATCGTAACCGGAGGCGATCTACCGCCAATCAGTAAACCGCCGCGAAAATTTTGAAAGAATATGACTGGATGAGAAATCAGTTACTTTCAGGAGTAACGCACTCTCCAGGACGTTCCAAAAAAAACGAAAGCATGCGTGCACCAAAAATGTGAGAAAAACGGACTGCATGAACGCGGCCCAAAAATTCTGCTCTCACGTTGGTTCATCCACTGCCGTTGGGACGCCCCACGTCGCGATGGCTCGATTGGACCGCGATCCAGTCGAACGATCCAATCGCGCGACCGCGAAGTCTGAACGCGCTTTCTGAACGCGCTTGAGGGTAGAGCTTCTGAGTGAGTGAATTAGTTCATCCATCTCAGAGCTGTGTCTTCTTAAGCTTGAACCAAACCCGGCTCTCCTCGCTTACATTCTTTCTTCGTGAGTATCAGTACCCAAAATCACAAACGATGTTGGACTACACCTTTCTTACATACTGATGAAAGTGAGTTCCGCAGATTTACGAGTGAACTGGTC